AGAGAGAGGGTAACGTACCGGTGCAAAATGCATTGCTCTGTTGAACGTAAATCAGCAAGAACTGCACGACAAGCATGCAGCATCGCTTTTAATCCATGCATCTGCTATTAAACTACACGATACACTTCTAGACGCGCATTAAATGCAGTAAAGTTCGCGACACCAAAACAAAACTTACCGTCCCAAGCCTTAAGACGCTTAGCCGGATATCGCTGTCAGTGTGTCAGTGTTATTGTGAAGGGCTCGCATGTGTGCGTGTTATGGCGGAGCTTGTTGAAAGTACGTGAACGAAGGATTTATCGCGCATCGTGATCCGTTTCGGCGGTAAATCTTCCGCGGCTCCTCGAGTTCATCTTCTCCACGAGAGACGCTTTCGCTGTTACCAGGCGCACGGAGGTCACGTGAGCGCACAGGAGGCGGGGCGTCAGGTCACATGGATTTTCTAAACAAAAGGACCACTTGATAAATTTAGCAAAGCAAACAAAAAATAAACAGTAAACGAAACTGAATTAAGCTAAACAAATTAAATTAAATAATATCATTAAAATCCAAATGATTTACATCTGAACAGATATACATCAGTTTATACATAGGTTAATAATAATCGAATAGGAATATCTTAATCTTACATCAAAAATAAGTCAAATAACTTGTCTATTCCATCAATTATTATTTTTTTCTTTAGAAATTAGAAATTAAATAATCAATTTAATTTAATAGAAATTAAAGAATCAAAATTCTTTAAGGCCGTGGAAAATAGTGTAATATTCAAATTAAGCTAAAGAAATTATTCTCTGAATGGGGAAAAATGTGTTTAGGGACAAAATATATGTAAATGTCGTGGTAAAAAGTAATCATGTGCCTTCTATTCAGCAAGAATTAATAACTTAAAAATAAAACCAAAACAAATAATAATAAAAAAACCTCCCATATATGCACGGTGCAATATGTTGTGCATTGTAATTTAAGTTTTTTTAATATAGGCCATTTATGTCCATACTAGTACCAAGTAAAACTGCATTTAACAATGTCTTGACAATTTTACTTTAATCCTTAAAGCAAAGTGGAGTTAAGCATCGAACTAACTCTCTAGATTAATATATTGCAATATATCTTAATTAACCCCCTTAACTAATTTAACTTACTTTAATTAACATAATTGTATAATTTGCTTGTTTGTATAGTTAGTAATACAAATAATTATATTATATTATATTATATTATGATTATTTGTAGTAGTAGTATTTTCCTGTCAATGCTGCTTGAAACTATTGTGGCTAATAATTACGTTTTTTAAAAAAAGTTAATACTAAAATTTTGTTTTCTAGACTCATTTCTCTTTGAAGATCTGCCCTCTTGTGGTCAATGAAGGCATGGCTACTCTCACTCAACAGTTCATATCTAAACTAGGCCAGTGGTTAGGCATTACAGAACATCTGAGTTTGGTGAAGCAACACAAGATTTCCTTCTGTCTCAAGCATTTGAGATAATCATCGATATAGCAGGAGCCTACCGTTCACCATACTTTAGACTTTAAATGTGCATATTTTTTTTTTTTCATAAAATGATGATACTGGTGTGGTCAGAGACTTCCAAACTGGTCGAGTTTCCTATGAATCAGAAAGAGGCTTATGGGCTCTGCAAGTCACTTGACTGAAACAGCAACAATGTGCTCTTTGTGATCAAAGGCCAAACAACACAATGCTTGATATAGTTGAATAAATATTTCTACTCACAAAGAACAGCCAACTAGCATTAAGCATTTCATTAGTCATCATTATAAATAACTGTAAGAGGACAATTCAGCCGTAATCACAACATCTTATATGCACAATTCTGAATTTGTGCCTAAGGTAATTGTAAAGTGGTGGTCAACTGGAGCTTATGATTACACTAATGACTGCACACAGACCTACCGCCCTTCAAAGTTAATCTTTGTAGTGAGACCTAGAAAGCACGATGGAATAACTCAGTTCTTTATCACTCGGAACTTTAAATGTTGCTCTAAATGAATGAACTTAAAATGAATGGCCAAGAAGAGTCTCCGACTTTGAGAAGAAAGGTAAGCTTTCATTTGACTTTTGAATTTACGGTCCACAACAAAGGCTGTCCACAGCATTATCCACAGGGCTGAACATGGAAAAGCAATTGACATGTATGTGTTAAAAGACAAACATTTCTTAAAGACACCCTACAGAGCTTCTCTAAAGGGAATTTCATCCTGAATTAACTCTGAACCCATGCAGTTTTCACTGCTCATGCTATGAACAACAGCACGATTGTATTTCAGCTGGTATATATGTTATGCACCTTATCTAGAGCACTTAGAGCAGTTCTGTCCTAGGATGAGTTCGCATTTCAGAGACAGTCTGAATCCGTGATTAAGAGGCGTTTGGAATATTAAGTAAAAACGTTCAAATATTTTCAACGAGTTTCAAAAATGGGCAAAGACAGTGGAGAGCTTAAGGAATATCAACCTTTACTTAAAGACTTCAAAGAACCAGCTCAACAAATAAAGGTATGATAAAATAAAATAAATTCTTTTTTTTAATGAAATACATTTTTAAAAATACTATTAATTATTATTATTGTTACCAAATTATTTAATTGCTTTTTATTATTTTTTAAAATATATTTAAATTTTTTTTTAATTAAAATATTTATTACTAGTAGGTTATAATGTACTCTTCAGCATAGCAATAATGAACAGTGATGGATAGGACATGAAGTTGACTGTAATATTCTTGAAGTCTTGCATATTACATTATTTTTTGTACTTTATATTTGCATGCATATTACATATTTTCACAACTCTTCACCGTTCTGTTGTTACCCTCCTTTTAATACTCTACTCTTAGATACTCTAAATATTAGCTGTTAACGATGAGCTGAAATCAGAATCACTTTCGAACATGCCTTTTGTACTCTGTTAACTGCAGGTCCCCAGTAAGTCTCTTCTTCTGGCTGTCTGGGCAGCTGGCATCGGTGGAACATTTCAATATGGGTACAATATATCTATCATAAACGCACCTACCAAGGTAAGAACTGTGTGCATTAACGTGATTATTCTCATCACTTAAGCCCGTTTGTGTTTACATCCACAGCAGACTTTATGGAACATGCATTAGTCACATGGAGTTCAGTGCAGCATGCATGATGAGTTATTATTGCAGTAGCTCATCAGACTAAAAGTCACATGAAATTTGTAGTAAATATATCACATGGATTTGGATTTTGGTTCCTTGCACATTTTTGATTTTTGAATGTGACAAAAAGTACTGAATCCAAAAACCACATTTGTGACCCTGGACCACAAAAGCAGTCTTAAGTGTCAATTTTTCGAAATTGAGATTTATACATCATCTGAAAGCTGAATAAATAAGCTTTGTTAGGATCAGGGTAAACAGAACAGAACCAAAATAAATGTAGTGCAGATATCGTTAAAGTTCAATAATGTTATGTACACATTTTAGAATTAGTCTGATTCAGGGTCACATTTGGATTTTTTTTTGTGTGTGTATACAGGCAAGACTAATTTTAACTACTGTAAGAGGTATCACTAATACATTAAAGGGGTCATATGATGCGATTTAAATTTTTCCTTTCTCTTTGGAGTGTGTGCAGCCCCTGTATATTGGTGAGATCGCACCTAGAGCTCTGCGTGGTGCCATGGCGATGGGAACTTCCATTTTCATCACCGGAGGGATCCTCACAGGACAAGTGATTGGCCTCAAGTAAGAAAAAAGGCAGTCATTCTCCATATAAAGAATATGAGGAGGGACAAAACTTGTTCAAGCTCAACACAGTGAAAAGCTTGTAGAATAAAATAGATTCCTCTTATGGCATGTCTGATGACATTCATAAAGATGTCAGTAAAGATGTTAAGACTCATGTTTTGTGTGTGTGTCAGTGAGTTGTTAGGTAAGGAGGAGTACTGGCCCATCCTCTTGTCCACCGTCTGTATTCCAGCCATAATGCAGCTGCTGACTTTTCCCTGGTTCCCCGAGAGCCCTCGCTACCTGCTCATCGACCGCGGAGATGACGACGCCTGCAAAAAGGGTACAGGATGGTTTTATAACTATGTTGCACAATATTGTTAAAAACATTATTTGTTGTAAGGCTAGTGGGATGTGGTTGGATAATACCCATTTTTAAAGGTAATGATAAAACTTAGAGTTTGAATGTCCCGAACCCTATTTGTCTCTCTGCTGTCCTTAAAATTTAATTTAATTTAATTTAATTTAATTTAATTTTTATATTTTATATTATTTTATTTTATTTTATATTTTATATTTTATATTATTTTATATTATTTTATTTTATTTTATTTTATGGAATGGAATGGAATGGCTGAGGTCAGTTAAAATACACTATCCTTCAAACATTTGGGGTTAGCAAGAATTTTGAATTTTCTCATATGTCTCATATGCTCACCCAGGCTCCATTTATTTGATCAAAATTACATTGAAAAATATTATTACAATTTAAAATAACTGTTTTGTACTTGAATATATTTTGAAATATAATGTATTCCCGTGACACAAAGCTGAATTTTCAGCATCATTACTCCAGTCTTCAGTGTCACATGATCCTTTAGAAATTATTCTGATATGCTGATTTGCTGCTCATTTCTTCTTCTTATCAATGTTAAAGACAGTCTTGTAGAAACTGTAATAGGGTTTTCCCCCCAGGATTTCTTGAATAGAAGAGTGAATATAAAGCTAAAAAACAGCATTAATGTCTTACTACAATCTATGTTAAAAATGCCTATATTTAATATTTCGTGAAACATGAAAACGAAAACATGAAAAAGAACATCATATATGAGATGCAATCTTTTGTAACACTATAAATGTCTTTCCTGTCACTTGATTCATTTAATGCATCCTTGCCGAGTAAAAAATATAAATTTATTTTAAAGAAAATCTTACTAAATAAGTACACAAACTAAATCGAGTTGGAAACATACAAATGTATGCATTAAGGCTATTTTAAATGGTTCCTATTATGCTTTTTCACTTTTTCAACTTTAGTTAGTCTGTAATGTTGCTGTTTGAGCATAAAAAAGATCTGCAAAGTTACAAAGCTCAAAGTCCTCTTCAAAAGTAGATATTTTATTTAACAGAAATCACTTTTCAAAAACTACAACGAACGACTCGTTTGGACTACAACGCATATTTTCCAGGATTTATGATATCACAAATACCGACGAATGGGAAACCTAGTATGAGAGCCTGTTCTAGTACACCCCCAAAACAAAATCAAGACTTTGTAAAAGAGCATAATAGGACCCCTTTAATTTTACTGTTAAAGTTATGTGATGAATTTAATAGTCTACGGAAAACAGCAGATTCAAATATCAGCTGTCCATGTGAAATTTCTGCACAGTTTCTACAAACTTTTCCAATATGCTTCATGTGATAATTCAGAAATTGAACAAAAAATGGTATATTTTAATAAGTAAATCGATGAAGATAAAATAATTAATCAACAACCCAGGTAAACAAACCTCCATGAAAATTACAAAAAAAAAATCATTGTTTCCTGCTTGTTTTTCTGGCAAGTATAAGGTCACGAGTCACATTTAAACTCGTGATTCCACTGAAAGAAAGATGGTGTTGTCATCTCAGCTGCATATAACCACAAAATCAGAATGTTTAAAGACTGAAGCGTAAAATCTCATTGAAATGATCACACTTGAATGGATGTCATAATGTGAGCACCCTGTAGGGAACTAAATCCAACCCGTTGAGCCGTAACCAACTACAGAAGCGAGGAGAAGAGAATCTCGTGAGTAAAGGAATGTTATGCCCTTTGCCACTTTCTTTCAGCTCTAATGTGGTTCCATGGCCCGGATAAGTACCACGGAGAAAAGGAGGACATAGAGAGAGAGAGAGTCAGCGCGGTTGGTATTAAACCCAAAAAGCCATGGGAGCTTTTTACGGACACTAGTCTTCGCTGGCAGCTCTTGACCCTCGTCGTGATCCACACGTCCCAGCAACTCAACGGCATTAATGCGGTGTGTATCTCACCCAGACAGCAGGAAACAACAACATCACATCAGTGGCTTGGATTATCCTTGACTGCTGATGTGTGCACTATTAAAACAAAAAAAACACCCCCTCCCTTCAAAATGGCATGTGATCGGCCTGCTGTGGTTTAAACCCTGATCTTTTCTCAGAGAAAATGATTATTAAAGAAAAAAGAAAAAACATGAAATCGTTCAGATTTTAACTTTGTGGCTGTGACATTAACTTGAGCTCCTATAATGGGCATGAAAGTGATTTTGCACACATGCTGAAAAGCTTTTATGGAGTGTCATGTGAGATAACATTGTAGAACTGCAAAGCCAATGGTGAATCACCTTTAGTCCTAACAAACAGATAATGAATGTCATTGCATTAAATAAAACATCAAACCATTGGATAGGCCAAACGTACATTTCTGAAAATTGTTTGTTATAATTTGTTGCTTAAATTAGATTTAAACTTTAGTTTATATCAAAGCGCTTTTACACCATCGTCAAAGTTTAATTCTCACACAGTATGATTAAACTGTTCCCAACTTGGCTGATATACATAATATTTAAATATATTACGCATATTTTCTTCGTAGATAGTCTGGGAACGTTTAACTTTCTATTCGATGTAACTTTATCCTCCATAGTGTTCACTACAAGGTTTACCAGTGTCAACTACGTCGCCCATTCTTGCGTCACCAAGGTTACGTACGTACGTTCTAGGTTCTAAACTGTAACTGTACCGTAAAATGTAGTGATTTAAGGGTATTCGTGCAAATTTTTTTTTTTGCCGAAGATATTACACCGAAATGTTGCTAATGTGACCGCACCTAAGAAAAAGTTTTAAAACGTCGTGTTTGCAATTCTTTTTGCTAAAAAGTGACTACTTCTGAAAACTCGTCATTATTTCCAGTTCATGTTGTCCGCACCCTTTTTATTTTTTGTTACTGTTATTTGTTAGCCTACTATCTATAGGCAGTAGCTATTGAAAGAAAGAAAGAAAGAAAGAAAGAAAGAAATGTATATATATTTATTTATTAAAATTTTTGGTTTGACATGGTACCCTACAGTTTTGCAAAGAGAACCATTCGGCCTAATGATGGTCTTTGTGTTAAGTTTTATTGACACTGTGCAAATGTTACACAAATTTCTGATCTAATGTACACCAATGCCAATATATGAAGAGTTCATTTGCAAAAACAGATAACTCAGTTTTTAACCATTTTCAAAAATCACGTTTTTTTCATTATGCATTCCAATTAATCTCAATCAAACTGCAGTTGGGTTATTTTGATTAGGTAAAAAATAACTAAAAAACACAGCTAACTAACACAATAAAACACAATAAAAACACGATAACATAACAAAAAAACATGATTTTTGAAAATTACAAAAATCGGAGTTATCTGTTTTTGCAAATAAACTCTTCATATGTATGTCTCTTCCCCACTTAGATTTATTTCTATGCAGACTACGTGTTCACCCAGGCTGGGATTCCAGCTGCCAAGATTCCGTACGCTACAGTGGGAACTGGAGCTTGTGAGTGCATCACCGCACTGACATGTGTAAGTCTGGAATTTGTCATTATACCTGCACAAATTCGTTTTTCTCAGAATGCATGACACAGAGCATAGAAATAAAGCAAATATTATAACGTAGGTTAATACTATAATTGGTAAGCTATGGATTATGGGCAGATTTGGCATAAAGTTGTTATGCCAATGCCTGTTGATGATAAAGAATCATGTCCCACTTGGCTAAATCACATAAAATGAGCTAAATCACACCTAAACCCAGTTTTTGAAAGGTCAAAAAGTGACATTATTCAGCTTCAGTCAGTTCAGTGCTGCTGCAGATTCAGTCCTGTAACCGCGTAACGTTCATTAATTATGAAGCAAGTTCAGTTCAGCTGTAGGCAGCTCTACAGAAGACAGTAATGTCATTATTCAGCCTGAGTCAGTTCACAGTTGATTCAAACTGATGTTGTGTGTTCCAGGGTCTTCTGATTGAATCTCTGGGAAGAAGAGCTCTGATTATAGGTGGATACTCTCTCATGAGCGTGTGCTGTGTCTGTTTCACCATCGCCCTCACTTTTCAGGTCTAGTGACCTAATACCTGCTGTTTTATTTCCCCCGCAATATTCATTTTGTGCACTGTGCCAATATTCTATTATCATATGTCGCTGTATAAACTAGAATCATACTTATATGGTTATGTTGAAACATGGCCTACAGTTTGTGATCTTCATTTTCAAACATTTGAATGTATGCAGATTTAATGATGTTTGTTTGGTGTTTCTCCTCACAGGAGTCCAGCCCTTGGGTTCCCTACCTTAGTATGATTTGTGTTTTTGCCTTCATTCTCAGTTTTGGCCTTGGACCAGGTGAATGAATGAGTAAAAAAAAAAGAAAGAAAGCAAAGGAAGATTACAGTGCATGAATGTTTTACCATTAAAGGAATAGATCACTCAAAAATGACAATTGGTTGAAAATGTGCTCACCCTCAGGCCAGCCAAGATGAGTTTGTTTCTTCATTGGAACAGATGTGGAGAATTTTAGCATTACATCAGTTGCTCACCAGTGGATGCTCTGCAGTGAATGGGTGCCGTCAGAATGAGAGTACAAACAGCTGATAAAAAAAACTATAATCCACACCACTCCAGTCCATCAATTAACATCTTGTGAAGCAAAAAGCTGCACATTTGTAAGAAACAAACCCATCATTAAGAAGTTTTTAACTTCAAAATGTAATAAAAGTCTGTATCCATAATACTGCTTTTTTCCAGTGAAAACGTCACATGAATCAGGAGAGAAATATGCACAGATCAAGCAGTTTAATCAATTAAAATGCCTTAATGATAGAGTTGTTTCTTAAAAAACAAGCAGTTGTGGATTACTTGTAGGTTTTTATCAGCTGTTTGGACTCTCATTCTGACGGCACCCATTCACTGTAGATGGTACACTGGTGAGCAAGTGATGTAATGCTAAATTTCTCCAAATCTGTTCTGATGAAGAAACACATTTTTGGATGCCCTGAGGGTGAGTACATTTTCATCTTTGGGTGAACTATTCCTTTGATAAAAACTCATCTCTATCCACACTATTGTTATATTGGTACACACTGGTATAGTTTGATCAGTAATATCAATGTGCTTTGTGCTGTAGGTGGTGTGACAAACATTTTAACAACAGAGCTGTTCACCCAAACCGATCGGCCTGCTGCGTACATGATCGGTGGATCTATCAACTGGATCGCTTTCTTCTTCATTGGCATGATCTTTCCATTTATTGTGGTATATATGAGCACCTTCTTTCCCTTTTATTGAGATATGCATGGTTACTCAGTTTTTATTATTTAGAATTTCACAAAGCAGTTGTATTTCTACAAGATGGACCTTATTTACCGTGCAGATTCTGTAAAAAACAATCCAATGATGATATTTGTTAATTACTTTTTGATGAGAGTTATTAAAAACAAAGTGGAATTTCAATGTTTTGTTTTTAACTAACTTCTCTTTCTCAATTTCTCTCAGAATGGACTAAAGCAGTACTGCTTCCTTGTTTTCCTTGTTGTCTGTTGCTTGGTGGCCACTTACATCTTCTTTGTGGTCCCTGAGACCAAGAACAAGACCTTTCTAGAGATTCAGAGTGAGTTTCACTCTAGAAAGAAGCTCATTGCTGCTAATGGTACCGAGGGCCCTCTACTGTCCACACCGATGTAAAACAAATGATACATTTACAAAGCACAGTATTTTAAAGGGCTTTATTATGTCTGTGTACTTATGTATGAATGTGCTAAAAATACCTGGAAATGTAAATCCAGAAAATATCTATAGAAATGTCTCATTTGCAACACAGACACTGCACTACATCATGTGCCTTCAAAATGAATACCGCCTTTTACATCAAGGAAAGTCACATGATGGTAGGGACTTTCAATAGCCTAGTATTACATCTTGTATGTGTTTTATACAAATGAATATGGTTAAAACTACTATGCAAAAATATTACAAAGTAGCCCACTATTTTGAATCAGTGTACTAGGCTACTTGTATCTGTAATTACTTTTTATCTTTAATTCTGTAAAATGGATCCATATTATAATCTTAAGCAAGAAACATCTCATGAAATCATAGAATTAATCATACTTGAATTTATTTTAATGTGAGCAACAGTTTTGGCAATAAACGAAATGTTTGCAAAACACAATTGTTTGTATCTTTCACACACAGTCAGATATTTTTTATTCTTAACATTCTCAAAGTTTGCAGATACTACAAGCACTAATCCACTGCGTCAATCAAGCTTGAATTCACTTCATTTTAAAGTCAACAAACATTTTTTTTCAGTGTATAATGGTAGTTTTTCCACAGTTCTTTTCACAGCATCTTTTATTCTTAACATCCTTAACATATTTTAAAGGTTTTCTATAAAAAAATAAAATATATATATATATCAAACAAGTCTATTTATCCTGAATGTCTTAACATTGTACCACTTTTCTTTATATATGGTTGTACAGTTTTGTGTCATTAATAATTACATTTATATTTACTGCTTTTGAAAATGTATGACATAAATAATTGTAAGCCATTAGATTAATTCCTAAAAAAAATGGCTTAGTATGTTGCACATACATTGTATTAGAAATTGCACAACCACAAGTTAATACATTGAGTAAACTGAGCAAACTGCATTGGTCAGACAGATACATCATTGATCCCATAAAGTAAACTGCAGAAACGCTGCGACTAGTTGTGAAACATATCTTTACAGAGTGGCTTGATTTGAACAGGGAGACAGTTTAGCTGTGAACTTCTCTCTTATTTGATAGACAACAGAGTGAGCTTCATCAAAGGAATCCGAGAGCGCTGACTGGACTCGACTCCTCCAGCTCAGCAGTTTGGGTCTGTCCTTCAGAATGTCCCTCCCGCTGCACAGAGGCTGAAAGAGACAAGAGAATGTATTTTAAAGCTCTTCAGCCCTATAGCTTAGATGTCACCAAACATCTCAAGACAGGTGAAGTAAGACAGGTAGGACTTCTTTATAACTGGTCTGTGTGAACATTCACAGTACGTTTAGCAGCTCTAAGCTCTCACCTGCATGAGCTCACAAACTGCTAAAAGGTCAGCCAATGAGATGTCGTCACCGCACAGGAAGGCCTGGTTCTTCAGAAACACGTTTTCCAGCTTGTCCAGTGTGCCATCCAGGTCTGCCAGCACCGTTTTAAGTTTCTCTGAATTTGCCGGTTGTCTCATGCGTGGCAGTAAAACCTGTACAGGAATACAAAACCTGTGAATTCTGCCAAAATCAGGGTCAAAAACAGGTAAACGTGGTTTAAAACGGTTATAGATGAAGAACAACGTCGCTGCTTGAAATGTCATGTCAACTAACCACGTCAAACCCTGCCTCGTGCAGGAAGATGGAGGAAATGTGTGTGCGCATGTTGGCATGATTCCACGCTGTGTACTCATCCACTCGGGCTCTCTTCTCTGGCAGTTTGGGGTACCAGTGATCAGGGACATTATAGGCTGTCGCCAGATACTTCAATATGGCGTCACTGTGACACAAAACCAAAGCTTAGAAGAATATCACACATTTGATCTGTTTTTTTAGCTACACTCTCTCTTCTTACCTCTCAGTGAGAACAAATCCGTTGTCCTCTAACACTGGCAGTTTTTGCATGGGGTTGAGTTTGGCGAACTCAGGTGTTTTCTGCTGCGCTAGAGATTCAAGTTCAAGAGCATTAAAGTTGTGAAGTTCAACAAATGAAATGAAGTTTGAATTCATAAAGAGTTCTGACAACAAATATTAACACATTACATTCAGAATAACTTTTATATAGGTCTGGATTAAAATCATCTGGACTTTACAAATGCATTCAAAACGGCTCTCACAGCCTCCACTGAACAACACACGCACAACAATGTTGCTCACCTTTTCGTATGGCAATGTTTTCCATCGTGTGGGGTATTTTGTTGTCTTTGAGGAATATTAGTACAGCCCTGCAGGCCTGAGACACGAGATCTAAATAAGCTTTCACTGCCTGCCTGCCAGCCATAGTCAAATTAAAGTGTGAGTCCTGTAGAAACAAGAAGTATTCCTGTTTGGGATGCCTCAGTCGATTCACCCCTTTAATAGGGGACGGGCCGGGGTGTGGTTGTGATGTGACTTCGGGTTTGATACAGGACCAGGACATCCCATTTGTTACATGCTTAAAATTGACCAAATCACAGGACGTCCCAGACGTCTTCAAATCACGGAGTACATGGAGGAAAGCCATGAGAACACAGGGAGAACAAACTAATTCACATAAAGGCCTCCTGGCTCAGTTGGGATGGGGTAACCCACTGATCCAATGTGCCAGAAACAGATCTGATAACAGAAACATCAATATGGAAAAAGCTGCGAGTATGTACAGTGTGTGAAATGATTTAAGGTAGGTGTGTGTGTGTGTGTGTGTGTGTATGTATGTGGGGAGTTTACTTAGGGTTTGACACAGGACCACAGTGTCCCATGAAGGACATTGTCTACAATTCCACCAAATTACAGGATGTCCCAGCTAGTATGACACAGTTGCCCTGCATACCATGTGTCTTTGAGAGAGAGAGAGATGAATGGGACACCATGACTGAAGCTGACTATGATATAATGTAGGATTATTAAAAAAAACAGAAAAGCTAAACTGACTCCTGGGAGTGAATTTTGAGGGGGGAACAGTTCAAATTTATTATGTTTTTAGAGGAATGAAGAAGATTTCTATATTTTATCCACTCAATACCCTGCTAAAGCTGTGCCAGTTCCACATAAATGTAGCAGGATCTTTTGTATCTGTATTTGTGCAATATTGACTTTCATATCCGGAATACATGTAGCAAATGAGAAAACAGCACGTCAGACCAAGAAGTTACTTCAGAAAAGTTAACTTAGTCTAGATACAACAAATTTGTTTTTGCCAAAAATCAGTACAAAACCGTTACTGTAACTGAACCGACTTCTCACAAATTCATATCTTTTGCTCTTAATACACTCAATGAATTCACAAATATAATGCATACAATTAAATAATGTGCCATTTCTTTTATAAATAAATACATTCTTAAATGTAGCTGTTTGTATTGATATTTTTGCGCAAGAATATCTGTAATCAAGTCTTGATTGACATGTGCAATAAGCTCTTCATCATATGTTGGGTTGCATGACTGACAGTAAAAACCATGTTTATTTATTTTTTTAGAAAATCTTACAATGTCTATTCATTCCAAATGTCATAACACTGTACCACTTTTCTGCACTACAGCTTTACAGTCTTTTTTACATTTTCTGCTCCCCTTGAGAATTTATAACCCTATGCACAAAAACATTACATTTATTCATTTAGAAAACCTTGCGTACATATTTCAAAAAGCAAAAATTACATCAACAAACAAACAAACAATACATAAATAAAAATGCAAAGGCTACTTAAACCCCCGGTTTCAAATACAAGGCTTAAGCCTAGTCCCAGAATAAAATGCAAGTCTGAGCGGTTTCAGCTGAAAGAAACTTGCACTGACTGATCTTAAAATATATCAGTGCCTTTGTTTTGTCTCAAGATGCACATGTTTATGTTTATAGAAATTACATAGATGTCCTAATTGAACTAATCCTGGCTAAGTCTAAAGCCTGTCTGCGAAACCAGGCCAACATGTTTCAGTTTAAACCACATATTAATCAAACATGACACTGCATATATCGGCCAGATGCGTCATTGACCCCTTAAGGTAAACTACATAAACATTTTGTCATGTTAATTGAGAATAGCTGTTACAGAGTGTCTTGATTTGAACAGGGAGATAGTTTAGCTGTGAACTTCTCTCTTATTTGATAGACAACAGAGTGAGCTTCAGGAGTCCGAAAGCGCTGACTGGACGCGACTCCTCCAGCTCAGCAGTTTGGGTCCCTCCCGACGCACATGGGCTGAAAAATCAAATGAAATGTCTTAACGTGTTATTTTCTCACACATTTCCGAATGGATAGTCTGAAATAAATTCAAATAATTAGCTCGCCGTTCCATCGCTGTCTTATTGTAGGGACTATCCATTCGGAAATGTGTGAAAAAATAATGCGCACTTTAGTGAGCCTATTTCGCCAACTACAACAAATTCTGAGATACTACTACTTTCAGACGAATCCAGTCGGAGTTATATTAAAAATTGTCTTTGATCTTTCAAGCTGTTTAATGGCACTCAGCGGGTGTTGCAGTGCATCAGTCCAAAAGAAGTTAAATAAAAAGAGTCAAATGTCAAAAGTTTTGGTGTTAATGACAAAAAGTACTCAATGTATCATTTACCTTAAAGGGGTCATCGGATGCGAAATGCACTTTTACATGTTGTTTGAACATAAATGTGTGTTGGCAGTGTGTGTACACAACCACCCTATAAAGATCCACCCAGTGTTTTTTTTTTATCTCGTTAAATCATGTCCCCTTTCTCATATCAAGCCATTCTCAGATGCCTGTCTGTGTGACGTCACACAGACCCAGGCCCCGCCCACGATTGTTGATTGACACTGGCGTTTTACCTTAGACCCGCCCTGAGTGAGCTGTCATCAGTCCGCCATTGTTGCACTGTTTATAATACTAATCGCAATTATAATGAAATCAATTTCATACGAGGTATTAGAGAAGCTCATTTGCGCATGATTGCATTTTGGCGTCTTTGTTTTCATAGCAACGGAGTCTCCAGAACGAGCGCAGCATGCACTAAACCTGCGCAGTTTTAAAACATCTGGAGCTCACATCTGCCCTTTGAACACAAGGCTCTCCAGATGTAGGGATGAATGGGAAAGTTATCAATGGGTCTGTCCAGTATTGATGAACGCGCAGTTTGCAGATAAGTTGCTCATGGTGAACTGTCTGACTTAAAGCACTGTTTATAATACTAATAGCAATTATAATGAAATCAATTTCATACGAGGTATTAGAGAAGCTCATTTGCGCATGATTGCATTTTGGCGTCTTTGTTTTCATAGCAACGGAGTCTCCAGAACGAGCGCAGCATGCACTAAACCTGCGCAGTTTTAAAACATCTGGAGCTCACATCTGCCCTTTGAACACAAGGCTCTCCAGATGTAGGGATGAATGGGAAAGTTATCAATGGGTCTGTCCAGTATTGATGAACGCGCAGTTTGCAGATAAGTTGCTCATGGTGAACTGTCTGACTTAAAGGGATAGTTCACCAAATCACCAAAAAAAATTAAAATTTTGTCATCGTTTACAAACCCACAAGTTGTTCCAAACCTTAATAATTTCTTTCTTTTGTTGAACATAAAAAAAGATACTTTGAAGAATGTGGGTAACCAAAGATTTTCTGGTCCTCAATGACTCTGATAGTATATATATATTTTTTAAGTTACTGAGGACCAGGCAGCAGCTGTTTAGTTACCCACATTCTTCAAAGTATCTTCTTTCGTGTTCAACAGAAGAAAGAACTTTATGCAGGTTTAGAACAACCTGGGTAAATTATGACAGAATTTTCATATTTTTAAAGTGACAGACACATCTGTGCTTCAAGGTATAAGCCTTTTTTAAAATTAAAATATGGATAGTCTGTTAATATAAAATTCCATACATTATCAGAGCTTGGTAGACATAATTATTATATTTTTAAACATTATTAGACAGATGAATTAATAGATTATAATTAATGTTAGACCCTATTTATTAATTTATCATTTATATTAGTCATAAATATATACATAATAAATTATCAAAAATGTCATATACAATTTGGCATTTTAAAAAGTAAAAAAAAAAAGCTACATTATTTAGATAAAAATGGGACAAATAAATGTAGCCCTAATTTAAGCAAATTAATAAGAAAAAATAAATAATAAAAATTCATCCCAAACGAGGCGTTTTAGGAGGGTGTGGACGAGTCTTAACTTTTATAAAGAATATCTCTTTGGATTTGAGACTTTAGTCTTTGCAACTTTACAGATCTTCTTTATGCACCAAGAGCTTGTAACACTCCAGAGAAAGGAAAAATTGAAATCACATCATATGACACCTTTAACGTGAAAAACGTTTAGTTTTTCTTGAAAACCAATATTCTTAATTTGGTTATCTACTGCTAAGATAACGCACCATAATCAGGGTTCTTACACCTTTTCCAAAGTCAGATCCTGACTCTCGGTGGTCATTAAAAATCCCAGGATGTCTTTCGAAAAGAGTAGAGGTGTGACCTCGGCATCCTGGCCAAATTTGCCCATTGGCCTCTGATCATCATGGCCTCCTAACAATCCCCATATCTACTGATTAGCTTCATCATTCTGTCTCCTTTCCACCAATAAGCTGGTGTGTGGTGGGCGTTCTGGCACACTATGGCTGCCGTCGCATTATCCAGGTGGATGCTGCACACTGCTGGTGGATGAGGAAATACCCCCTGACAATGTAAAGCGCTTTGAGCGCCTAGAAAAGCGCTATATAAATGTAATGAATTATTATT